AAAAAAACAAAAAACATTGTTGTCCGGAGGGGAACGAAAGTTCCACGAGAAAAATCGTATTAAATGCCAAACGTTTCCTTCCTCTTTGACATACACATTCGTCCGACCGAAAAGGCCCTTTTAGCACAAAGAACGCCGATTTTTATGCCTTTCTAGCACAAAGAATTACCGATTTTTTGCGAGTTTCTAAACCTCATGTTTCGAGCGTTAGCCCTTTGATCTGTTTTCATTCGGTGGTGTTGTCTTATGGTGATTCCTTATAGATAAAGGTCATCGAATTTCTTTTTTTGAAATTGTCCTTTAATATTCTCCAAAAATGTCTGTATCGAGAAATACGACAAAAAAGGAAAGGTTACCTTGTTTAAGAAATATGACGGGCCAAACTCACCTCATCTACGTTAGTACTGGTATAAATCAGGCACAGTATTTCATCGGTTTACGGTCTATTTTGCGGTAACCAAGGATTTTTAAAGTGACATTTGAAAAAGAAATGATTGGTAAAAAATCTCGAACGTATGGAACAATTTGAGATATAATTTGCGGGAAAATCACGCAATTTTAAAACGACATCGATTCATAACGTTCCTCGAGTCGTTGCTTTCAAGGTCATAATTTGCATCATAGAATTACGGGCTTCGTGAACGCCTTCAGTCATATCTTTTTTTTTCCATCGATGAATGGTTAATCTACAAATTAAAAGAGATAATTTGTACACCAAAATTCTGCAATAAAAATATAAGTCAATGCGCTCGTTTCATAGCTTAAGACCATCGTACGCCTCTATCTGGTCTATTGATTGAAAAACAATATCGTTTTCTCGGAATACGCGCGCGCTTATTCGCCTGATTACGTGTTTTTATGCGCAGAACAAGTTGCGCTGTACAATACAGAGGAATCAGTTCAAGGTAGTCTTCAGGTAGGTTTACTTTTCTGCAATGTAAATGATTTCTCTTTAGTCTGTAAACCCATTTAGCAGTATTTACTGCGCACATTAAAATTGTACAAGTGTACGCTAGTCTCCAATTCCCTTCTTCCTTACGTGAGACTTGAGTGCGGTAATAAAAGATCAGTCAGTGGAGTGAAGAAGTTACTCCCTTCCTTGGCCAATGCTACGTAATACCCTCAAAGCGTACAACGTTTGACCCCCAACGTTTTGACCTGTCTTTAGATGTTGTCTATCAGGGTCTTAAATAATTTATTACATTTTGCAGACTTTGGAATCGGGATTGTGCGATAACCGTGCAATCATACAATAGTGCACTCACTTGATTGTGTTCTCCATCAGTAAGGAGTGCTTGAAAAATTTTCCTTCTCCTCCGTGCACAATGTAATTTTGAAGCGGAGGGGAAATGAAATTGACCCACGGGACCTTTATGATTTCGGATTTTTTTCTGTCATCGTACGTCTCACATCAACAATTTACATATATGTAAATGATTAAAAGTGATCAAAATCTAATCTTATTTAAGTCTCTCAATGGGAAAACCTGCTGCAAAAGTAAACAGAAGTAAGAATTGAGGTAAATGATATTTTCGAGACACCATTTACTTTCTAACTTTTGTTTGACTGAAAGGTCATTGATGCACACTGAAGGTAGTGTCTAAATTTCAGATGTAACGCTATGCAATATCTTTGCGATGGGCGAGAAAATCGTGAATGTGCGGCCGATTACGCTAAAATTAAAAATTTACGTGTCCGTCATCAGGCTTTGTCCTTCTGTCTGTTTATACATGTAAGCTTTCCCTTCTTTTCTCCTTTGCTGTTCAGTAGTTGGTTAAGACCGAGAGCAACATCTCACAGTTGAGTCAACTTTTCCCTTTCCCAGATTCTCCCAGGTGCAGGACCGGGCTAATTCAATCCTGACTTCGTTTTCTAATGTAGAGGGTAAATTGTCACAGATAACCATTGAAACTATTGGCCCTCCCAGCAACCTCTCTCCACGAATCTGGTTTTCGTTCTGGATGAGACGGCGAAAAATGTGCAAATTTTTCAAATGCACGTGTTTCGTTGTTGTTTTGCTCATTAGACCTTTTGTTCCGCCACGGTCTCGTCGCCGTTGCCGTCGTGGTTTTCTTAAAGTCACTAATACTAATGTACTGAAGCCATGGATCTAAGCTGATCAATTAGAATTAGAGGAACACGCCCATACCGTTAACAAAGAGCCGAAATGACCCTGGGCTCGAGTTGAGCACATTTAAGAGGCATCAAGCCACAAAGGGTAAAGAAGAACTTAGTGACCAGAGTAAAACAGCCAAGCGCGAGGCGCGATAACAGGTCCATCGTAATTCTTAGTAGCTCTTATCTCTGTAAGACTGGACAATGCAAAGAAATCATTTATTCAATAACGTTTCGACTGCTGTAGTGAAAGTCGTCCACAAATTTAGCGATAAGTCGCTTTTCAGTCAAATGCTAATTCGCTGAAACTGATTAGTCTGTCTTGCCTTGATACTGTTTGCGGTAAATCTATTAGCGCAGTGTCCACCAAGTTCTTCTTGATAAGTTTCGATCCATCGACAAAGTAAGAGCGTTCGATTCAGTTCATTAGTAAATGAACGAAAATTTCGTACCGAAAACGTGATAAAAGCAAAAGTAACACATTAGTTTTAATGAGCCAGACTGAGACATTTGATTGAGGAACAACTCTTCACAGATTATTTACGTTTTTACTAACTGCCAGTCACGAGATGAAGAGCCTATAAAGTCTGAAAAGACTGATTATTACTACAATAATTTCTTTTGGCCGATGTGACTCTACCACTGTTATTTCAAATTTCGTTCTTCCCGTTTTAACGAAACATTACAACTGAAAAATCGAAAGCTTGTGGATTTAAAACCTGTCTTGTCTTAATTTGCTTAAACCAGAATATTGATATCATGAATAATGAACATAAGTTTTACAACAAAATAACTGGAAAACAAAAGGATGCACGATGTCAAACTTTGTCGTGAGGTGGTCGTTATTTGAGGTTAGGGGCGAAGTGTGACCTCTGTTTTTTCCAAAGGGCAGAGCATTCTTACTTCTTGAAAAAAAAAAAGAACAAAACAAATCAACTGAACAAAGCAACATCAACAACAATATCAAGACACGTACAAAATAAAAAGAGGTAACTGAATCAAAGCATAGCAGTTCTTAGGAAACCAAAAGCTCATGTTCAGAATGATAACAAAACGAAACAAGTGACACAGAATAATTAGATACAAGTTTGCAGAACAGCTGTTTCTAGTTATACAAACATTTATTACGCCTCTGTATAACACTGTCAAAGATTGTGTGCCCGATTGATTTGTCACGCATTTTACTGTGTCAAACGTCCAGTCAGTGATTAA